AAGAAAAGTGTTCAAGTAATTTCCTTAAACAAAAACATTTTTTCACAAATACTCAAATTAATTTCAATCGAACAATTTCTTTCACATTATAATATATACTTCCGCCAACAATTAACATAAGATACATTTAGAGTAGAACGCGACACTTTGTGAACTTTCGAGTAGAGTCTTGAAAATGTTCATGTAAAATGTTAAGTATTTCAAATTAGATTCCTTTGATTCTTTTTGATAGTTTAAGCAATTTTTGTACACGACGTCAAAGTTGACCAACAAGGACCGTTTGCTGCGTAATCTTGGCAACTGTTAGGGGTTCTACTACACCATGGCTTACACAGAATGTAAAATACTACTGTATTTTTTTCTTTATGCTGATATAAAGTTTGTGTTAAAAGTCCACTATAAATGACATTATGAGCACTGCAGATATACGTAAATGTGCGGGATTCTATATAAATTATGATAGATAGGTCTGAAATTTAAAATACGGAGGTGTGTAGGGGGGCCGTATATCATGCAATACATGTATGACTAATAATCTGTAGTTCGTACATTCGAAATGTAAAGCATCTTTGTTGTACGAAGTCCGTCCTTTACTTAAATTACGGATCTTTTTATTAAAAGTTCGTAGGTTCCTAAAATACAAAAATTTCGTATTCTTGCAAAAACGGATTCTGTATACAAATTAAAGAACCAAGATGTAGTCCTAAATTACCATTTTCTATTAAAGGAAAGAAATAGTCTGATCTGACATTTGTCAGAAAACATAAAAAAATAAAGCTCTAAATAAATGAAATATTTTCCGGTTTTATTAACATATCAATTGCATACTGATCATATGGTAAGTGAACTGAACATATCAACAAAAGATCCTCGACAGCGTCCGAAGCATGTACAAACAAGAGAACCTACTCAAATTTCCCAATTGAACTGTCCTGCAGTGAAAGAAACAAACTTAACTTGATGTAACAGACCTTATTTAAAGAACATGTGTCAAATGTGTATCTTTAAAGATTTTTGTTTATTATGTACAATTTCAGATTTCTTTCTATTTAATGCAAGAATGAGCATATAGTTGTTTTAAAGAACAAATCTGACAAAAGTTAAAAAAGATGAAAACATACGGAAAATCATTTGCAGTGTAATACAACGTAACGTAACGTCACGTAAACATACACGTCAGTGTCAACGAAAATTGAACGTGGAAAAACATGACAGTTTTGAAAAGATTGGTTGCAATAAGTTGATTATTAAAAAACTTGGGCTTACCCTACCTAATTCGGCATTTGAAAATTTTGAATTTCGATCTTCGAGCTAGCTCAAAATTCAACTCCAGCTCGAAATTCGGCTTTTGAAAATTTTGAATTTCGATCTTCGAGCTGGCTCGAAATTCAACTCAAGCTCGAAATTCGGGTTTAAAAAAAATGAATTTCGATCTACGAGCTGGCTCGAAATTCAACTCCAGCTCGAAATTCGGCTTTTTTAAATTTTGAATTTCGATCTTCGAGCTGGCTCGAAATTCAACTCCAGCTCGAAATTCGGCTTTTGAAAATTTTGAATTTCTATCTTCAAGCTGGCTCGAAATTCAACTCCAGCTCGAAATTCAGGTTTAAAAAGAAATTGAATTTCGATCTTCGAGCTGGTTCGAAATTCAACTCTAGCTCGAATTTCGGCTTTTTTAAATTTTGAATTTCGACCTTCGAGCTAACTCGAAATTCAACTCCAGCTCGAAATTTGGCTTTGGTTTACTTTGAATTTTGATCTTCGAGCTAGCTCGTAGTTCAAAGCTAGCCCGATATTCACTATAAACTGAATTTCGATCTTCGATGTCAGTGCTAACTTCTCAATACTGTTTATTTTCCTTAAAACAAGAAAAAAAACAACAAAAAACAAAAAAACTGAGTTGCTGAACTGGGATTTGAATTCCAGACCTCTCGCTCCCAAAGCGAGCGTGTAAACCCCTCGACCACGGGGAGTTATAAGATAACGGCCTGAGAGAATACCATACTATTCTAAATTAGACTTTGTAACCCTTATTAATTTCGATATATTTTTTTCACGGTGAACCTGTTGTTTAACACTGAAGTAAATAATCATGGAGCTGAATATAAGCATTTATTACATGCTTTTCGGTGGTTTATAGAAATATATCAGTGATATAAAACTGGTAATTTCACTGTTTGAAACAGTAAAATTACCTCTTTGATAATGTCACTGTTTTGAATTTAAGCCCCTTACGTTGTTTCAGTGAAATACCAGCGTGCAAAGTACTGGGTACCAACTTAATGACGTGACGTCGTAAATGACGTCACGTTGTTTTATTATTTGGCGTGCTTTTCATTCAGTATTAGGTTAAATGTCTTTTTAAAACGTTTCTTTGCATATAATAAAAAGAAAATTTGTTTAGTTTAGTGTAAGATCGAAATATATTTCACCTTGTGAACACCAAAAATTCATATTTCACTTGTGGCTGCGCCACTCGTGAAATATACCTTTTGGTGCTCACTCGGTGAAATACGATATATGAAATATCTATATGAATAACACAATATTAGAAATCTTCGACCAGTCGGGAATTATTTTTTCGTTACGAAAATTAATGCGCCTGTCATTTGACAATCTTTACCGCAGTGATCTCCACTTAATTTTTCGGCGTTAATGTACAGTGAGGGAAGTAACCGCTTTGAGGAGCTTGGACTACTTTCGGTATTTGCAAATAAGAACATCAGGGTCTCAAATTTCGCTACCATTATTTGTTCTGACGACCAAAACAAATAAAACTGTACCCCCTTTGCACGTGTACAGGTCATTCTCTGCTGAAAACAATCTAGTAAACATCCTAGTGATAAAAAAAGGTGGTATGTCGAATGAAAAAGAAGTATACTCCAATATACACATAAAATTAAAATACTCGAGCTTGAGGTGTGCTACTTTAATAGCAATTAAAATAAAGATATTTTGGTTCATCTATTTTTTTCATTTTTTCTTTCTAAATTTTATATAAAGAAGCAGGTTAGGATTTCAATACCTTCAATAACGCACGTATCCTCTACAAAATGCAATAGTTTCTGAATTGGTCACTCCTATTTGGAGTGTCTGTTATGTTAAACAATGTATCCGCTTGATGTTATATTTTCCTAAGTCTATTAACTTTAAAGTGTTAATTTCGATTTCTAAGTATATAAGCCGTGACATGTTATAATAGATAACGAAGGAATACTAAGAAAACACTTTGACACTGGAAATAAAATACCAATCAAAATAATAAATGTGATTATTGTTTAATTACTGAATGTAAGTAAGTCCCGAAAGTGTTTCCTGTTGCAAAGGAAAATAAATTGTCCTTTAAAAAGATGAAAGTAATGTTGTCAACACATAATTTTCCGTCAAATTTTCTTTCTTATGGTTCTTAAAATAGGACTCAGCAAGTTTTTTTTAATGGTTCAAAACTTTAAACTACCAAATTGTCCAACGCAATAATTGTTCATTTTTCACTGTATAGTCAAATTTATGGTAGAAGTTATATTGAACAGTAGATTTCAAAATATGTGTACATCGGGCATGAACTATGATGAACTGGTGTAAATACGTGTGAGTGTTAAATAAAATGCATAAACAAATGAACGGACAACAACACAAACCAAGGTTTCTTGAGCTAGAATACCGTGTTGCGTTTTAAATCTTAATACAAATAAAGAGATATTGAAATGTACATTGTCGTTTTTGTCTAATAGCATGATTTGCTCACTGACCATGTTATCAGTATGCAATTGACATGTAAATAAATACAGGTATCACATCGATTTCAATATTTGGAACAAAAGTGATCCCTTGGAACAATTAAAAACAGCAAAATAACATAAAAGTTGCAGATTCGTTTTGATGAGTCTGTAAATGAGGAATAATGAAAAAGTGCAACATTCCTCACGCCCTGACCTTGAGCAGTACTCAATTCTCAACACTGAAAAATGCTGGACTCAGTGATCCCGAAGTAGCAGAAAAAAAACACTGAAGTGATGTACGGGGCAGTAGTAGTAGCAGCAGCAACAACAACAGCAGTAGTAGTAGTAATCTTTATTTACATCTCATCATTGTACAGACACTATATACAGCGTTAAAAGTTCATAAATAGTATAAAGTAAACAGCCACTCCAAAATCGAGTTATAATGAAATAAAAATATATTACAATGTTAGACTATATATTGATAACACAAGATGTTTATGCGATAAAACTGGAAAACCATTGATATCCATAAATTAACAAAAACTAAACACAGTGAATTAATTACGGCAACAAGCATACTTTTTATGGCTTTAAAACTGAGAAATTATATTAGAAATAATAATGAAAATAAAGCATAAATAATATCGGTAGTATTAGCATATTTCTGTTCATGAGAAAATTAACAATATTTCATCTGATCTGCTGGGCATTGTTGGTATTTTTTACCCACAATACCGCCACTGACCACGCTTGATCAAACTAAACTTGAAAAGATTCTTATCTTTAAATTTCTTTTACTATTTCTATCTCATTTTTTAAATTACATTACGTGTGCTTAGTGTTAAAACTTTTATTTGCTTGTAAAAGTCTTTTTTTTTCGTTTTGTTAAACGATTAGATTTATACTTCAAACTTTGATATATTTTGCTCTTATTACATGAAAATGACAGGCATCGTTTTACAAAATGTATGCCAAAACTTATAAAGGAATATACGTACATATGGCAGTAAGTATAATTATTGATAACTGACAAAAAAACCGCTTTTATCATATAATGTCAACATTATAGAAAATGTGTGGAGCATGCACTTTATAAGCCATTTAATTTAACAATATCTAGTGCTGAAATTTTTATATTAGAAAATAATGATAACTACTACACAATCTCTTTTAAATACAAAATAAACATTGAGTTTACTTCTTTGTCATATTAAAATCTCTACACACTAAATATAGGTGGTCACTATATAAATATAAAATGTCGTTAAAATACTGGCAGTGTTTTCCCTTTTCTGAATGTACGAAAAGACTAACTCTGGATGCGTGACTTTCAATACAATACATTTTTCACTTTTGATTCAAATTAGACGGTCATATTCAGTAATAACTTAATAGATTTAATAAATGACTTGTTTAAAATATTTTACTCAAGAGTGAGCATAGTATACCTTCAACAAAATGAATGAGATATGATTATCATTATATAGATATAAGGACGCACATTCGTTTTATTAACTGATATAACTTCAAAAGTGTGGATGTCAAAATATCAACATACAGTTAAATGTTTAATTTTGTCTTATACAAATATGTACAAAAGTGTTAAAGCGGCCTTCAGCTTTTCTAAGGTTAGATATCTTATTGTTAGATAAATCGAAATTTGTCGTCGATAAAATAAATAAACAAGAAGGAAACCTATCGAAAACATAAAAACCGAAGGCTGCTGAACACATTAAAACATCAGACAGTTATTCAGCACTATACAAAAAATGAAACTGAATACACTTGTTACTCTATCACGTGCATTGACGTGACACTTTTGATTGTTGTTGTTGTTAATGCTAACTGCTACAATTACATCAAAGAAACCAAATTTTTCTGTCGACATTCATGCTCAGATACTGAAAACAACAAACCAAAATTGCAAAACAATGACAATATATCGGAAATCGTTTTAAAGAAATCAATTTAATTGTAGACAAAAAATTCTATGTAAACAATCAAGATATATACTGACATTAAATTATTGTGTTATTTAAATAACGATGTTACGAACAATTAATTCACAGATACCTTGAACTCTCCCAAGATTCTGATTATCGTAATCTGATCCTAACACGACATCACTGTTTGATTCTGAAAAATAAACCTTTTATTAGCTTGTTATTCTTGTAATGCATCAATGCAGCTTAACATTAATTTATATCTTCATTAAAACATTTAAATGGAATAAGAGTCAAAACCTAATATTATAACAAAACCTTGAACCCGTGATGAAATTCAGAGTATGTTATTTGACTATACGTACTTTTGTTTGTCGAAAAAATTGTTATGTATTGTTATCAGTCATATATAATTTAGATAAAATTCAAATGAAGATCTGACGAAGTCAGTTTTAGAAAAAAAGTACCTTGAACAAATCCATGATTTCTGACATTGCCAGCGTTTGCTGAACTTCCACATTCCAGTTCGATGCCTGAAAACATAATAATTCAGTTACTAGTTTATCTACTCGCATAGACATTTTTACAATACATTTCCACAGAAACGGAAAAAGCATTCGCGCATGCACATGTTGTATAGGGAAAAAGCAATAACGACAGAATACATAATTTCAGAGACATAGGTAACATTATGTTATCTGCAGTGTATTTAACACCCTCGTTAACAAAATGAGAAATCTGAATGATAAATAATAACTTAAGAATATCTTATTTTGATATATAACCTATGCAAATTAAAACTCGAGGGTAGAACATATTATGATCTTGATTCAAGCGGGGTTCATTTAAAGAACTGGCCTGTGTAAAAATAAATGAAGAATAGGAAGTTCAATAATGACAAATGAAATATCAGTAAGAAATAATACTGTATTTACCAGAGTTTTCATTACGAGGTCCCCTTGTAGTGCTATTACCATTGGCCCTTTAACGCAAATGAAATAACATGTTGTAGTCAATTCATAAACTATTCATAAAGATTAATTTACTTGCTATTGATGAAGAATAAATTTATTAAATAAATTCGTACATTTAAGCAAGAAAAGGAAGAAAATCGTAATTTAATTTAAAATTAGATCTAATTAATCTAAAATTTGAATAACAAATTTTTGTTAACATCTTACTTACATTATGTTAACAGTTTAACTTGTTTATCTCAAATGTATTTCTTACGAATACACCAATTGATTTTTGTATTGTACATTCATGAGTCAAGGATCAGTGGGCTTTATGACGAAATAAAAATAGTTGATAAAAAACAATAACCATAATATTTAATAAAATTTAAAAAATGAATTGCAATATTTTAACGAAGTAAAGGCATATATCCATAAGCAGAAATGCAAATATCTTTATATGAATGTTTTGTAATGCATGTACACAATTTGCTTATAACATTTTACACAGTGTTTATTAGTTGTTGGGTCAAAGCAAATTAAATTTCTATTGTTTGCATTTAAATAAGTGCAAAGACATTTCTGATGCTTTAACATTTTTTCCATAAATTGTACTGATAGACGTCTTTCGTATAACATCTGTTTCAACTTATTCATGCTCTTTGAGTTTTACCCTTGACTTTAATAAAGTTGAATATATATATTTTTTTTTTACCTTTTCCGACATTTCCAGAGAATCAACGTAACCACAAGTACCAACGACACAGCAAATCCTGTCCCAAGTATTACACCAGCTGTATTAAATGACTGCTCTGTGGAACTTGAGTCTAAATTTTTTTTTGTAAATAAACATCGGTCAAGCCCTTAACTTTTTTTTTAATATTTCCGTAAAAACATCGATAAATATAACAATAATCAGAGCGTAGAAATAAAAACGTGCTACATTGGTAAAATAAAAGACAAATCTAAAACTTTATACCTAATGTATTTTTATACATTTATCAAAACATTTTTGCAGGAAATATAATTATTCCTATTATAAATCAAAGTACACAAGGCGCTGAATTTGTTTGGGTCTCAGAATGTCAGAAATGAGAAGGTTGAGAGATTATAAACCAATTTGTTTTTGTAAAGTGCCACCAATGCTTTTTAGTGTTTTAACTGTAGTAAATTGGCTATAAGACTAATTGCAACACTGATAGTCGACATAATATTTAGTTGAATTCACCAAAAGTTTAGTTGAAACTTCCAGAGCATCTCCCGGGGATTGAACCCACGCCAAGGCGGTAACTGGATTACAAGGCATAGACTCTAACCCCTCGACCACGGAGGCGGTACTATTTGTTTGGTCTGACGACCCAAACAAATAAAAATCATTAGCATTATAATTTTACAGATGCGACGTAATATGATATTAACGTAATGCATAGCTATAACATTCTGAAAAAGGAAAGATCCGAAAGCACGGAAAACAAAATAAGATTACACTTGCCAGGCATGTATTGATTGCACTGCCGTCCCTCAAAGTTATCAAGACATCCATATGAACATTCACCATTACTTCTTTCGCATTGCTCCATTTTACAGCCAAGAGAACAAGATATGTTACAGTACTGTCCATACCAGCCAGTTGAACAATTTTCACATTTAACCCCAACGATCGTGACTACAGTACATCCGTATGTACAATCTCCTGATTCTTTTTCACAAACGCCACCTTTACACCCTGCAGAACACTCTTGATTGCACATGTTTCCATATTTTCCGGTTTTACAATTATCACATCTCACTCCAGCAAAAGTTGGAAAACATGTACAGTTTCCAGTTTGCATATCGCAAGAGTTTGATAAACAACCAGTAGAACAATTTTTCTCACAGTTTGGTCCATAAAACCCAGTTTTACAAAGCGAGCATCTATCATAGGATGAACATCGTAGACAGTTATCCCGGCATTTATATGTACAGTCGTTCAACAAAGGAAAATTAATGTTGTCGTTCTGGTAACCTTTATAATAACCATCCTTACACGATCCACAATCATTATTTGACGAACAAGTGACACAGTTACCTGGACATAAACTGTAACATAAATTACTGGTATCGTAATATCTGTCCTTACATGACACACACTGACCATTATTACAATTACAATAAACAGGACAGTTACAATCAGATTGACCATCGGCGTTATAATATCCCTCCTTACATGATGTACACGTGGTTCCTGTTGTGCATGTTTTACATCCGGGTAAACACTTCGATGTGCAGTCTCTAGCAGAACCGGGGTAATAGCCATCATAGCACGCAGTACACGTATCTTCACGATCAGGGCATTTTGTACAGTTGTGTGTACATCGTATGTAGCAGCGAGCACCTCTATAACCATCAATACAGCCTAGAGTACATTGGTTGGGAAACCATTTGCCTCCTCCACATTTTCTTTCTATACAACATGCACAATCTACTTTACATTGTTCATCAACCTCTGTAATAAATAAAGTCAAACGTCCTTAAAATAGTATCATATAAATGTTAAAATGTAAAATGAAATGCTATGAAATTATCATACTTTTTTATCAATTTGAATTGCTGAACAGTTAATGTTGTTTTCATAAGATGTTTAGAGTTCTCTTTATGCATAATCAATAACCTAAAATATCGATTAAGTTTTGTTTATATATACAATGTATACCAAAACTGTAAGCAAATGATTTTAAACATGAAGGGATGCAACCGCTTCTAGGAGTTTGGACTAATTTCGGTATTTGCAAATTAGAACATCAGGGTCTACATTTTCGCTACCATTATTTGTTTCGTCTGATGACCCAAACAAATAAAACCGTGCCCCATTTGCACATGTATAGGTCATTATCTGCTGAAAACAATTTAGCGAAATACACCAATCTAGTAAATGTTCATCCTACTGATGAAAGGTGGTATGTCGAGTGAAAGAGAAGTATACTCCAATATACATATAAAATTAAAATACTAGAGCTTGAGGTATGCTACTTTAACAACAATTAAAAATAAAGATATTTCGGTTGATCTTTTTTTTTTCCATTCTTTCTTTCTAAATTAAATAAATAAGCAGGACAGGATTTTAATACCTTCAATTATCAATAGTCTCTGAATTAGTCACTCCTATTTTGAGTGTCCATTATGTTAAACAATGTATCCGCTTGATGTTTTATTTTCCTCAGTTTATTTACTTTAAAGTGTTAATTTCGATGTCTATATATAAGCCGCGTCATGTTAAATAGATAACGAAGGAATACTTTGAAAACACTTTGACATTGCAAATTATCACCAATCAAAATAATAAATGTGATAATTGTTTAATTACTGAAAGTAAGTATATAAGCCCTGAAAGTGTTTCCTGTTGCAAAGGAATATAAATTGTCCTTTAAAAAGATGAAAGTAATGTTGTCAACACATAATTTTTCATCAAATTCTCTTTCTTATGGTTCTTAATAGGTAAATAAGTAAAGAACTTTATTAAATATTTTGTTAAAAACATCGATTAATTGCTGTATTTCTATACATTTATCAAGACAATATAAATGTTTCCACATATTGCACACTTATACATGTATTCTATATAATTTATATTGTTTTCTGTAACTATAATAATTCTTATCATTAAAATATCATTAGCAGCAGCGACAGCCTTACAATTTTACAGAGGCAACGTTATATGACATCAACGTAATGCATAGCTATAAAATTCTGAAAAAAGAGTTTTAAAATAGTAAGATTACACTTGCCATGCATGCATTGATTGAACTGTCCTCCAAAGAAATTATCAAGACATCCATAGGAGCATTCACCATTACTTTTCTCACATTTCTGATTTTTACAGCCGGCAGAACAAGACATATTACAGTTCTGTCCATACCAGCCTGTTAAACAAACGTCACATTTATCACCAATGATCGTATCTACGATACATCCATCTTTGCAATTTCCGGATTTTCTTTCACACACGTTACTTTTACACCCTACTGAACATTGTTGATCACACAAATTTCCATATTGTCCGGTTTTACATTTGTCACATGTTACTCCAGCAAAAGTTGGAAAACATGTACAGTTTCCAGTATGCATATAGCAAGAGTTTGATAAACAACCAGCCGAACAATTTTTCTCACAGTTTGGTCCATAAAACCCAGTTTTACAAAGCGAGCATCTATCATAGGATGAACATCGTAGACAGTTATCCCGGCATTTAATATGTACAGTCGTTCAAAAAAAGGAAAATTAATGTTGTCGTTCTGGTAACTTTTATAATAACCATCCTTACAACGATTCCACAATCATTATTTGACGAAACAAGTGCACACGTTACCTGGACATAAACTGTAACATAATTACTGTATCGTAATATCTGTCCTTACATGACCACACACTGACCATTATTACAATTACAATAAACAGGACAGTTACAATCAGATTGACCAATCGGCGTTATAATATCCCTCCTTACATGATGTAACACGTGGTTCCTGTTGTGCATGTTTTACATCCGGGTAAACACTTCGATGTTGCAGTCTCTAGGCAGAACCGGGGTAATAGCCATCATAGCACGCCAGTACACGTATCTTCACGATCAGGGCATTTTGTACAGTTGTGTGTACATCGTATGTAGCAAGCGAGCACCTCTATAACCATCAATACAGCCTAGAGTAACATTGGTTTGGGAAACCATTTGCCTCCTCACATTTTCTTTCTATACAACATGCACAATCTACTTTAAGCATTGTTCATCAACCTCTGTAATAAATAAAGTCAAACGTCCTTAAAATAGTAATCATATAAATGTTAAAATGTAAAATGAAATGCTATGAAATTAATCAATCATACTTTTTTATCAATTTGAATTGCTGAACAGTTAAATGTTGTTTTCAATAAGATGTTTAGAAGTTCTCTTTATGCATAATCAATAACCTAAAATATCGATTAAAAGTTTTGTTTATAATATACAATGTATAACCAAAACTGTAAAGCAAATGATTTTAAACATGAAGGGATCAACCGCTTCTAGGAGTTTGAACTAATTTCGGTATTTTGCAAATTAGAACATCAGGGTCTACATTTTCGCTACGCATTATTTTGTTTCGTCTGATGACCCAAACAAATAAAACCGTGCCCCATTTGCCAACATGTATAGGTCATTATCTGCTGAAGAAAAACAAAAACATTTTAGCGAAATACACCAATCTAGTAAATGTTCATCCTACTTGATGAAAGGTGGTATTGTCGAGTGAAAGAGAAGTATACTCCAAAATATACATATAAAATTAAAATACTAGAGCTTGAGGTATGCTACTTTAACAACAATTAAAAAATAAAGATATTTCGGTTGATCTTTTTTTTTTCTGTTTCCATTCTTTCTTTCTAAATTAAATAAATAAGCAGGCAGGATTTTTAATACCTTCAATTATCATAGTCTCTGAATTAGTCACTGCCTATTTTTTGAGTGTCCATTATGTTAAACAACAATGTATCCGCTTGATGTTTTTATTTTTCCTCAGTTTATTTACTTTAAAGTGTTATTTCGATGTCTATATATAAGCCGCGTCATGTTAAATAGATAACGAAGGAATTACTTTGAAAACACACTTTGACATTGCAAATTATCACCAATCAAATATAATAAATGTGATAATTGTTTAATTACTGAAAGTAAGTATATAAGCCTGAAAGTGTTTCCCCGTTGCAAAAGGAAATATAAATTGTCCTTTAAAAAGATGAAAGTAATGTTGTCAACACATAATTTTTCATCAAATTCTCTTTCTTATGGTTCTTCAATTAGGTAAATAAGTAAAGAACTTTATTAAATATTTTGTTAAAAACATCGATTAATTGCTGTATTTCTATACATTTAATCAAGACAATATAAATGTTTCCACATATTGCACACTTATACATGTATTCTATATAATTTATTTTATTGTTTTCCTGTAACTATAATAATTCTTAATATCATTAAAATATCATTAGCAGCACGACAGCCTTAACAATTTTTACAGAGGCAACGTTATATGACATCAACGTATGCATAGCTATAAAATTCTGAAAAAAGAGTTTTAAAATAGTAAGATTACACTTGCCATGCATGCATTGATTGAACTGTCCTCCAAAGAAAATTATCAAGACATCCATAAAAGGAGCATTCACCATTACTTTCTCACATTTCTGATTTACAGCCGGCAGAACAAGACATATTACAGTTCTGTCCATAAGCCTGTTAAACAAACGTCAACATTTATCACCAATGATCGTATCTACGATACATCCATCTTTGCAATTTCCGGATTTTCTTTCACACACGTTACTTTTACACCCTACTGAACATTGTTGATCACACAAATTTCCATATTGTCCGGTTTTACATTTGTCACATGTTACTCCAGCAAAAGTTGGAAAACATGTACAGTTTCCAGTATGCATATCGCAAGAGTTTGATAAACAACCAGTCGAACAATTTTTCTCACAGTTTGGTCCATAAAACCCTGTTTTACAAAGCGAGCATCTATCATAGGATGAACATCGTAGACAGTTATCCCGGCACTTATATGTGCAGTCGTTCAACAAAGGAAAATTAATGTTGTCGTTCTGGTAACCTTTATAATAACCATCCTTACACGATCCACAATCATTATTCGACGAACACGTGATACAGTTAAATGGACATGAACGATTACATTTATTATTGATATCGTAAAATCCCTCCATGCATGATGTACACGTGGTTCCTGACGTGCATGTTTTACATCCCGGTAAACACTTCGATGTGCAGTCTCTAGCAGAGCCGGGATAATAGCCATCATTGCACGCAATACAATTATCTACATCACTATGTCTTTCGCATTTTGTACAATTGTGTGTACATCGTTTGTAGCAGCGAGCACCTCTATAACCATCTATACAGCCTAGAGTACATTCGTCAGAAGAAAAATATTTCCCTTGTCCACATTTTCCATCTTTACAGCATGCACAATCTACTTTACATCGTTCATCAACTTCTATAATTAAAATAAAGTCTTACTTCCATTAAATTTATCACGTAGAAATGTAATGTGAAAATATACGAAATTATAATTTAAATTAGAATTGCTGACCAGTGATGAATAAATAAAATGATGTGATAGTGGGTCTAGAGTTCAGTATGTGCGTATTCAATTACCAAAAAATATTGATTAATTATGTGTTTATATTACATAAACTTTGTACGTTATAATATTATCATAGTGCAATGAAAAGCTATGATATTATCATCTTAATTTGATCTACGTCACGACAAAACCATCATAATGCATTTGCAACCAGCATGAATATAGACCAGCCTGCGCATCCACTCAGTCTGATCAGATCCATGCTGTTCGCCTACCAACCCTTGTTACAAGTAGTGAAACTGATTGCGAACATCATGGATCCTGATCAGACTATGCGAATGCGCAGGCTGGTCTGGATCCATGCTGGTCGCAAAGCCATTATGTTGGTTTTGTCATGGCACGGCTCATTTGAACTAATGAACAGTTTATGCAGTATGAGATAATGCAATGATATTTCATTATATGCAAAATGAATAATATAAAAATACGAATTAAGTTTGCGTTTTTATCATATTTGCAATGTTTACCAACACCAAAAGATCAAATTCTTTCAAACAATGCACTCACCTCCTGGCGTGTTGCAAACAAGTTCAAACATACATAGTGTATATATAATCTGTAATGAAAATTCGATATATCATTATTCTTTACCTTTATAACATGACATATTGTTATATCTGATATAAGATCAAATTTTTAAGGGACATCAAAGCGCATTTGTCTCATGTTTTTAAGGGACAACAAAGCACATTTGTCCAAAGTTTTTAAGGGACAAGAAAACATATTTGTCTCATGTCACGTTTTATGAATTACAATTTATTTTTTTATCACATATTTTCCAGTGCAGAATGTTATTTTAGAACCGAGGTTCGTTGTTTTACCTCATGTCAAATGCAATCATCAATAGGTTTGATAGTGCCATTTGTAAGAAATCTAAGACCTAAAACATACAGTGGAACTATAAATTTTGATATCTCTAATTCAAAAATATTGATTGGCTGAACCTGAAGCATGCTAAATCCCGTTTACGATGGTAAATGTTAAGTGCGGTGGTGACTCCCGGATTCTTGCGACTCGCTTTGCATTTCGTACGTCGACGCGAGACAAGAAATCCTTTGAGGCCAAATACCGCTAAATAGTATTCTTTTTATTATCCATATAAAACTGACATTTTTTAATAGCTACAAAACATAGCTAGACCCATATTAGAGAACAAATCCTTATCTCATTTTAAATAGTTATGATAAAACGGATATAAAGTGATGAGAAAAGTAAGACAATTTTTAGCGTCACATTTGTTACAGTAAAATGACTTAAAATCACACTGCTGCATGTGACGTAAAAGAACCACCAATACTAAAATCAAAATTCACTTTATCAAATACAACCTTTGCTCGCCTTTTTTCTACCAAAATGTCAAAATTACAACCATTAATTTTAATTCAGATATCTATGGCCATGCACAGTCAAAATATTGTCCAATAACATGCACGCCATTACGTGACAAGGCCAGATGGCTCCCTGTGCTGGTTCCTTTACCATAGTTAGGTAATTGAGAAGGCGATATTTTAATATGTATTTCTGACGAGAACATAATACGCGTCAAATGGTCCTGTCATTTTTCTTCCTCAGATCATTTAGGGGTTGCATTGGCCGAGTGATTTTCAAAAACCCAACTGCCCCTAACCGTTGTATGTCCGTCGCTCACTCGGGTGTAGAACTGCTCATGTGAGGAAGCCCGTCTAGGCTCAAAATTCGAAAAATCTATCCGCGTGCACACGTAATAGATATCGCGTGCGTATGTGCAATAGCTATCCCTTTACAAATTAATATCTATCGCGTGAGCACGTAATAGTATCTCGTGACGACGTAATAGCTATAGCGTGCGCATTTAATAGTTTCTCGTGGCGACGTAATAGCTATAGCTTGCGCACGTATTTGTATCTCATGACGACGTAATAGCTATAGCGGGCGCACGTATAGTATCTCGTGTCGACGTAATAGCTTTAGCGTGCGCACGTTATAAATAAGCAAAATCAATAGTCCCCTTTATGGCACCGTAGATACATGTTCTACCTTTTTGTTGTTAATAACGATAAGAACAGCTCGCTGCATGTGTTTAGGCTGGTAAAAATGTTCGTTCTGACATGCAAAACAGGTATATTCTTTAAGTTAATATATGGTTCTTATACAGAGGTTGGAAGTTTTCGATTGGCCTTAAGTGACCTAAAAACGGCAATATAAATACAGAACACAAAACAATGGCATGTAGCCGGTAAACGGACGGGCATAATTATTACCTTTTTAGAATTTTATGGAAGAATGTGAGACAAATGTGCTTTGAGTGTCCTTTCTTTTGTATGTCGAACACATCTTCTCATTTCCAATTTGTACTTTGTGAGACAAATGTGCTCCTACAAAGCATTAACCCTTTAGATTTTAAGACAAATATTTATATGAATATACCCTAACACTACGTACACTCTGTACTGTAATATCGAAATAATTAAGTAATAATTCATAACAAATCTCTGACTTATTTATTTAAGAAAATGTATATAAATAAAACTCGTCATTTGAATGCTGATACAGAATTACTATAATTTTACAAATTATTTTTTACTAACCAAATTTATGTTCCTCATTGTTTCCTTTATATGTTTTCACTGATCAAACACGAACATCACTTTAACTAAGTAGCAAGGTTATAAACCCTCGAAAAGGAAGTAAATAAAATATAACTTACTGGTGCGTAGTTAAATTCAGATTGCATTTAAAAGAAAATGTTCTCGTTATATCAATGATGTCTTAAGCAAACCTTAATTATTAACTTTTAATTTAACCACAAAGCAAGTCGAAATAGTAGCAGTGTCGCAATATATTTTAGGGACTGTGTGAAAAATGTATTACAGTACATCTTAATATCGATGTAAATGGTCTTGTATGCTTTTAAAGAGATAAAACGTTAGTCAACTCTGACAAAGATGGTATTTTTGTAAAAGATTCAAGTCTTTATAGAAGTATTAATGCATCATTGTTCGGATTGGACTTTTATGACACTTAAATACTTGTATTTGTCGATATAGTAACTTAGGGGATGTGTACATGTCAGGTGACCTGAATTCACATATAGCTGATTTGTTTGGTTATTTACCCAACAATAATCGGAACCGTTTTATTGATGAACAACAGACATCCTCGCACGGAATTAATTTAACTGTGCGTTGTGCTCATTCTTGATCGTTCTGTTAACACTTACCGATCAAAATTATTGAGTCTTTGAAAGGAAATGCTGCGTGTATCATACACGTAGTTTAAAAAAGGGTTAATGTACCTGCCATACTTTATATGGGGCGGCATGGCCGAGAGGTTAAAGTGTCTGACTAGTTATCTAAGGATAGCTATCCGCGTGGGTTCAAACTCCGAGACGTTGTTTCCTTAAGCAAGAAATTTTAAATTCATTGCTCAGTATTAGTTGGCTCCAAGAACGAATTCGAGAATGTGTTTATAAGCTCATAGCTTCCTACACAATCGAACTGTAAATTCTGTATAAATCAATAATTTAATTCAATATAGAAATTGGTGTGTTTCTAGTTTGGTTGATTATTTAAATAATAACAAGTCTTGAGTGTCATTATGAAGTCAATTACATATATATGTTTAAGATGAAATTGCATTTTCTGATCATTGTGAGATAAGATTTTCTTTGATGTGTGATGTTAATGTACCAAAATTAATGTAAATAATGTTGAAAATGACAAAATTGTTTGGAATACTGCTAACGAAACATTTATTTTTATTTTTAATACAGTTTAAGTTGAGTAACACGTTTTAAAAATATAAACAATAAACTTGTTTCAGGTGACTATGATATAAATGAAAGTATGTCTATCTTTTCGAATACAATGCACACTATTCCAAAGAAATGTTAAGCTGCCACGCACCGTTTCTATGGAAATAGGTAGATTAAAATTAAGTTATTGTTTTTGGAATGTTGACATTCACTTGTGAAATCAAATCAAAGTGGAAAATCATTTTTTGTTATATCACAGGACTCTTAAGAATAACAATTATTCCAATTGTCCTTTAATTCAAGTCAAGTCAAAGTCAAATTATCTTTATATTTCATCAGTGCTCAACAAGTGACAACATGATACATTCCAAAAATTAAGAAACATTATATATGGGTAAAAATAGTACATAGTAGACTGGCTAAGATCGGATTTTAGAAAAGTGAGGTTCCTTTCATAGAGAAAGGAAAATATTTGATTTAAGGTATACATCAGTTGCGACACGTTACAATATTATAACGAAGAAATACTTAGAAAACACTTTGACACAGGAAATTAAATAGCGAAAGAATAATTATGATTATTATTGAATAACTGAAAGTAAAAAAACCCTGAAAGTGTTTTATGTTGCAAGGAAAATATATCAAGTGTCGTTTAAATAGATGAAATTAATGTTGTCAACACATTATTTTCCTTCAAATTCTCTTTCTAATGCTTCTTAAAATACGACTGAACAGGTGTTTTGTCAGAGGTTCAAAGTTATCCGAACAAGTTTAGGACCACAGTTAACGCTATACCAATGAGTAATACCGTCATAATTGAGATGAACATGTTTATTATTTTAGTGCTGTAATTCAATATTCTTTCAAGAAAAAGACACATAATACATGTTAAAAGAATTTTACGGAATAATGAATTAATGCGCAGGGCAAAGCTATGTTAACAACACTATGAGTGATATACTCTGAGCGATATGAATTTTATCTCATTAAATAACAATAGCGTTAAAAGGCGTATTTATCGCGTAATGAGTTAACAGAAATAATGAAAATACTTGGAATTACCCAAAACCGCGTTTTTCCATGTTTAAACATGGCCTTACAGATAAATTTGATGAAAAAACGCTGTTTTGTAGATTTTTTTTCATTAAGCATGCGGGTATTATGAAAAAAAAAGAGAATGAAAGTAACTTATTGCTTGACATTGTTCTCTGATTATTGAACCTGCAATCTCTAATTGTGATAGCGTGAACCTTCAAAATATAAGTGTGACCTTGACCTTGTCTGGACACGACAGAATGTTGTTATGAGAACAACATATGTGCCAAGTTATTTCAAAATCCCTCAATGCATAACAAAGCTACATTCTGGACATGATTGTTGTGTAAGTGGGGACTCACGGACGGGCAGACGGACATAAGCGTTAGCCGCGATACATTGTCTTGATGTGCTAGACATTTGTGTCAAGTTGTTTTAATATCCTCCCATGCAAGAAGACAAAGTTACCGTCTATCTTCAAACTCCTTCGAGAGAATGAGTACCTTTAAACTGTAATTGTGACCTTGACCTTGAAGATAGGGACATGGGTTTTAGTCGAAGCATGTCGTCTTGGTGTCGTTAACATTTGTGCCTTGTCATTTTAAAATCCTTCGATGCATGGGACACGAATGTATGTACCTATATACTCTAATTGTGATAAAGTGAACTTCAAAATGGTTTTGTGATCTTGACCTTTAAGGTAGGGACGTGATTATTAGACGCGACACATCGTCTCTATGTGGTAGACATTTATGCCAAGTTATTTTAAAATCCTTCGATGCATGACAAAGTTACAGCCCGGACACAATTGTGTGTACCTAATAATTTTATTTGTGATATTCTAAAATTTCAAAATGTCAGTGTTTCCTTGACCTGTGAGGTAGGGACGTAATTCTTTGTCACGACACATCGTCTTGATGTGGTAGACATGTATGTCTAGTTATTCTAAAATTATTCGATACATGATAAAGTTACAGTCCGGACACGAATGTGTGTACCTATTTACACTGTAATTGTGATAATGTGAAACTTCAAAATGATAGCGTAACCTTGACTTTTTAGTTGTTCCTTATACGCGACACATCGTCTTGATGTGACTGATATTTGTGCCAAGTTATTTCAAAATCCCTCAATGTATGACAAAGTTACTGTCCGGACACGAATGGAGTGTTGCCGCACAGACGGACAGACGGTTCGATTTTAATATGCCTCCCTTTTAGGGCATTAAAACCCAGACTTTTACATTTTAGCATAAACTTTTACAACGGTTTGACAGAGTATATTTCAAATAACAACGCAAAATATTGACAGAATGAAATATACGTTTCATAGATAACATTTTGTCAATCATCTTACTGGTAAGCAACAGTAATGATTCAAACGGTACCTTAGTGGCCGTTGGATTAGATAGGTAGCACGTTCGTTTCCAATTCATATATACAGCTTATTATTTGAGAATATCATAATGATAAAGATAACAACGTAAAACTTAACGTAAAACAGTATTCATCATAAAAGCAGAATATAAAGTCTATAATTATACGGGTTCTAATATTAATATATTGTCCCGTAGTTCTCCGTATTCCAATATTTACCGTATTTTTTTCGCATATTTTTTCCGTATATCCATATCGTTTTATGCAATGTAATATAAAAGAGGAAATGACGTTAAATGAAACAAATCAGAAATTATTACATGTCGAGTTTACTCGGTAAGCAAGTACACGGTTGGATAAATGAAATTGAACGAAACGCCGGACAAGTTCAGTTTAATTTCTCTTGCTGCTCTGTAGGAGAACAAAAAAAAACATATTAAAATAACAGAAAAATGGTAAATGATTTTTTTATTATGTATTCACAGTATATCAAATTGGCGCAAATGCGATACACTAGCTAGTATCGAATATATCAGACGCGTCCATCGCTCTTCTCAGATATTTTATTTTGATACTTGTGTCCTTGACTGTTCATTTAATAGGCGAACGGAGTTACATCTTTGTTAGGTTTATGATATATTGGATATTAAAATAGTCTTAAACAGAAACTGCTTGGAACAATTAAATATTACAATAGGATGTAGACTAGTTGTGAACAAATCATATTTCTGTGTGACTAACGTACAAGGTATATACAGCTAATTAGGTTATAGCAGAAGACTATATTTATTTGATATAGATTGATTAATGATACAAATTGTTAAAAAGGCACTTATCAAGGAATGAAACAGTAAAAGTAGTAGTAATATTTATTTATATCTTATCATTGTACATACATTATATACAAAACGATAAAGGTTTACAGTATAAATGTACAATGCCCCAAATATGGAGTTATAAGAGATGAAAGAAATAATATCACAATGCTAGAATATATACTGTATACATATATGATTAAAACAAGTTTATGTGATAAAACTAGAAAACTATTGCTTTTCATAAACCAACAAAATTATACACCGTGACTTCCCAAAGATGTACAAGAAATTAAAGACAACAAGCACATGACATTAAAACTGAAAAATATCAAATAAACAATGATAAATAATTAAATAATAAATAATCGACAGTTAAATAATAACATCATCGTATTAGCATATCAAACATATTACATTTTTTTCATCTGATATGCGATTTTGCTAATAGACATTGAGGGCACCAATACTCATTGATCACGTTTAATTTCCCCCCCAGCAAAGTTATCATTGCAAACAATACAATTGCCAGAGTCTTTCAAACAACCTCTCCTGTCACAATTGGCTGGACAGTGACTGTTGCAAATATCTCCATACTTGCCAGGTATGCACTGATTGCACAGTCCTCCTACAAAATTATCAAAACATCCATAGGAGCTTTCACCATTACTTTTCTCGCATTGCCGACTTTTACAGCCAACAGAACAAGATATGTTACAGTACAGTCCATACCAGCCAGTTGAACAATTTTCACATTTAACACCAACGATCGTGTCCATACTACATCCGTCTGTACAATCTCCGGAATCTTTTTTACACACGTTACCTTTACACCCTGCAGCACAAAGTTGATTGCACATCCTTCCATACTTTCCGGTTTTACATTGATCACATCTTACTCCAGCAAAATTAGGGAAACATGCACAGTTTCCAGTTAGTATATCGCACGTGTTTGATATACAGCTAGCTGAACAAATGTTGTCACAGTGTGACCCATAAAAACCAGTTTTGCAAACCGAGCAACTGTCATAGGATGAACATCGTACACAGTTATCTCGACATTGGTGTGTACAGCCATTCAACAAAGGAAAATTAATGTTGTCGTACTGGTGACCTTTATAAAAACCATCCTTACACGATCCACAACTGGTATTCGACGAACACGTGGCACAGCCAATTGGACATAAACTATTACATAAATTATTGATATCATAATATCCGTTCTTACATGATTTACACTGACCATAATCACAATTACAATTTTCAGGACAGTTGCGATTACTACAATCATTTCGACCATTGTCGTTATTATATCCCTTCTTGTACGATGTACACGCGGTTCCTGACGTGCATGTTTTACATCCGGGTAAACACTTTGATTTGCAGTCTCCAGCAGAGCCGGGATAAAAGCCATCATAACACGCAGTACACGCATCACTATCATAAGAGCATTTTGTACAGTTGTGTGTACATCGTGTGTAGCAGCGAGCACCTATATAACCATCTATGCAGCCTAGGGTACATTCGTTCGAAAAATATTGCCCTGGTCCACATATTCCATCTAAACAGCATGCACAATCTACTTTACAGATTTCATCAACCTCTGTTATAAATAAAATCAAACTTCCTTCAAACTTCCGGAAAAATATCAAAAAGAAATGTGAAATGAAAAGCTATGAAATTAACCTTTTTTTATTTTGAATTGCTAAACTGTTGATGTTGTATTCATAAGATGATTTGATAATGTGTCTAGAGTTCAATATATGTATAATCAATAACCTTAAAATATCGGTTAGCTCAATAGGAAGAGCGTTGAACTGTGAATCGGACAATACGTGTCCGATTGTCGAACGGTGCTGGTCACTTTCTTTGTGATCGATCATGAAATCCTTTCTACGGCCATTCGCACTGTACCTCTGCTCTGGCATGTACAGAAGTTATAAGTTCCTTGCGAAAGTGTTAAGGCAACTAGTACTGGTAAAATTTGACAGTTTGTCAGAGAATGATGCGGTGGCTGAACAGTGTTCTGGTAAATTGAATGTGGCTAACTGCTGTGATCTGGAGTGAAAACTACCAACACCACCACCACCACCACCACCAAAACCTCAAGTTCAAATTCTTTCAAGCAAAACACTTACCCCCTGTCGTGTTGTAAACAAGTTTAAAGATAGATATTGCACATACAATCTGTAAAGAAAATTCGGTATTTCATTATTTATACTTTAATTTATAATACGTAACAGACAATTGTATTATGTAGTTACTTTATTGTTATGTCTGCTATAAGATCAATGTAGTACATGTAACACTTATTACAGTGATCACTATATACGTAATTCTACAAAACAAGTACAATTATATAATTCCAAATGACAATGATGATATTTCTACAGGATGAATATAATAATTCTACAGGACAAGTTAGTGTCTCAGTATATTGTTTTTATCATGTCCAGAACTGAGACATTATATTCACACATTCGCAATTACGAAAAAATAACTTCCATTAGTTTGATAAATATATTGCATTGAAAAGTATCCAATATTTAAGAATTGTTTTTCTTTTAGCAAACATTGGATAATTCCTTCATCTATCAGTACATTAAACACATTTATGCACAGTTACAACAAAACATGTTTTCATAACGCTTAACTTTCAGTCTATATTAACGCTTCAACGAACAAGTTTACCTAAATTGACACATTTGCTACAAAAGTGTTAACTTTTAATACTAAAAATATAGATACTAAGTTAAACCCTTAAATTTGAAGATTTTAGAAATTCATGTCTTATATTGTTTATATCGTAGACATGTTCCCGTAATATAGGGTTTTAGTTTTTTTTAATTCTTAGTAACACATTTTGTCAACTAGAAGTGACCGTTTGTAAACAAGAAAACTTTAACACCAGTTTGTGTGTGATTGCAATACGATACCTAACTAACTAAAAAATCATGCTATAAATTCCTTTAAATGTCAGTTTAACAAAAAAAAAACAAAAAAAACAAAAACAACAACATGTGTTATCCTCTATAATGTCAAATGCCTAGAATGCATGCATTAATCATTATTCAATAAAACGTACACATGCTTATTGATGACATGATGAATTATAAGGAACATTATTAAGATATAAGCATTATCAAACTTTTTTTTTATTTTCCAATTGAAGTAATTGTGTATCTCAACTAGGTATAATTATACAAGTTTATATCATACAGAAACAAACACTTTGTTTCTTGCACAATGCTTTTAACAAAGAATAAGAATTACCATGTGCAACAATTGTAGAATTGCCGTCTTTTCAAAAGGAGTATTCCCCTTGATTAACTGTTGCCAGTGAACCTGTTTTGATTTCATTGATTGTTTTTACAAAAAAAAACAAAGCAAAACAGCAACTTTGTAATTTAATTAAACAACTACAAACTGTATATATGTAATCATAATTATGATGGGGGGAATCAATGATAATGAAAAATATAAATAACTTTTACTTTATTATTGTAGTATGTATTATATAGTCCTAATGTATAACCGTTATGTACAACATAAGACAGTAAAACATGGAAATTATGTTTATGTTTTGTTTTTTCTCCCCCCTTCTCAAAAAAGCAAGTTATTTCAAGTGTCCAGTAAGTAAACAATAGAGGCAAGTAATTTTAATTAAAATCTTAATTGCCAATTTAATAAGACAACTGAGAACATTCTTCAAACTGTCAATTATCTTAGAGAATAAACAATTATCTCACATAATGGACAGTTTTCGTAGTTGGTAAAACTGAGTTTTTAATATGCAAACAAATATTTAGTGAAAATCCTACTGATGTTAATTGACAGTTATTTTTTGAATGCACGTAAACAAAATATCTAGAAAAATATATTTTGCTAGAAAAAAAAACAACAAATTTGTCAGATCTTAGCCACAGTAATTCTAGAAAATCTTGGAAGTATATTTATTTCACCATATCTTGTTGATTTTTTAAATGTTATTTTTTAAAGGGAGAGACAGGCAAAATTTTCATTTCTTAGTTTTGAGTTTTTCAGTCATTATTCTGTAAATGCCCTCAAAATAAATAAATTAGACAGTCAAAGGAACAGAACTTTTCTCCATATAAAGAATAAAATGTTGGTTTCCTAACTTGACCTGCGTGGGTCAGGTTAGAGCGCTAGGATTTCACAATAGTTGTCAAAGTGAACTCTGGAAACGTTAAAGAACATGTCAAATGTATGACTAAGACTTGTTTCAATCATACAATATCCATAATATCTGTTATTGTAACTTCAAGGGTTTGTTCAAGTCATGTGACTTGTTTGAAAACTATTTGGTGATTCTATTCGGGTCTAAATTTTGTTCAATATATATATATATATATATATATATATATATATATATATATATATATATATATATATATATATATATATATATATATATATATATATATATATATATATATATATATATATATATATTTGAAGCGTAAATATTTATATTTACGCTTCAAACCCAAAATATTTAGAATTTAAACAGAAATTCATGCTGAAACTTCAAGAAATGTCATTTTAGCGTGATTTGAGTACATAAGGTCATTTTAATATTTTGTCTTTATTTTGCCTGAATATCCCTTTGATAAAGGTGAATATTCCGCATGGAGTGAGCAATTATTCATATTCATAGAGGGGGAGACTATTCTGACTTCTCTAATTACAGAGGGATAACTCATATAAATGTTGTTGCTTGTGTTGCTCAATTGTATTAGTAGGTTTTGTAAATAGAAAATGTACTTACTGTCAGTTTTCTTTTGAAAAGTGTTGTTTAAGGCCAAGCTCTATTATACCCTAATATATTAATGGAAAGCCTTCGACACTGCTATACTTGAGGCTTTATGGATAAAGCTTAACTTTTAATTATTAAGTTTTACCTGCATCAATTCATATAGTATAATTCCTGTCTATTGCAGAGGTATTCTTCCAAACAGCGAAAAATAGAAAAAGGAATTTTAAGATGAGTTTGATATTTTTATGTACAGGACTTAGATATTTGTCATGATCAAAACACCTAAAACAGTGACATAAATCATGCGCCTGCTGTTAAATGGCCACGCCACTGGGGTCATTTATTACATACAGATTTGTACCAAGATGCAAATCAGATAAATATGTAGTCTTCTACAATTCCCAGAGCTAGAATCAGGTCAAGTTAGGAAACCAACATTTTATTCTTTATATGGAGAAAAGTTCTGTTCCTTTGACTGTCTAATTTATTTATTTTGAGGGCATTTACAGAATAATGACTGAAAAACTCAACACTAAGAAATGAAAATTTTGCCTGTCTCTCCCTTTAAAAAATACCATTTAAAAAATCAACAAGATATGGTGAAATAAATATACTTCCAAGATTTTCTAGAATTACTGTGGCTAAGATCTGACAAAAAATTTTTTTCTAGCAAAATATATTTTTCTAGATATTTTGTTTACGTGCATTCAAAAAATAACTGTCAATAAACATCAGTAGGATTTTCACTAAATATTTGTTTGCATATTAAAAACTCAGTTTTACCAACAACGAAAACTGTCCATTATGTGAGATAATTGTTTATTCTCTCAGATAATTGACAGTTTGAAGAATGTTCTTTGTTGTCTTATTAATTGGCAATTAAGATTTAAATTAAAATTACTTGCCTCTATTGTTTACTTACTGGACACTTGAAATAACTTGCTTTTTTGAGAAGGGGGGAGAAAAAACATAAACATGATTTCCATGTTTTACTCTCTTATGTTGTACATAACGGTTATACATTAGGACTATATAATACATACTACAATAATAAAGTAAAAGTTATTTATATTTTTCATTATCATTGATTCCCCCCCCCATCATAATTATGATTACATCTATACAGTTTGTAGTTGTTTAATTAAATTACAAAGTTGCTGTTTTGCTTTGTTTTTTTTTTTGTAAAAACAATCAATGAAATCAAAACAGGTTCACTGGCAACAGTTAATCAAGGGGAATACTCCTTTTGAAAAGACGGCAATTCTACAATTGTTGCACATGGTAATTCTTATTCTTTGTTAAAAGCATTGTGCAAGAAACAAAGTGTTTGTTTCTGTATGATATAAACTTGTATAATTATACCTATGAGATACATAATCACTTCAATTGGAAAATTAAAAAAAAAGTTTGATAATGCTTATATCTTAATAAAAATCCTTATCATTCATCATGTCATCAATAAGCATGTGTACGTTTTTTTTTATTGAATAATGATTAATACATGCATTTGACATTATAGAGGATTACGCCTGTTTTTCTTTTCTTTTTTTGTGAAACTGACATTTAAAGGAGTTTATAGCATGATTTTTAGTTAGTTAGGTATCGTATTGCAACCACACACAAACTGGTGTTAAAGTTTTCTTGTTTACAAACGGCCACTCTCAGTTGACAAAATGTGTTACTATAATAAGAACTAAAAAAAACTAAAATCCTATATTATGGGAACATGTCTCTGATATAAACAATATAAAACATGAATTTCTAAAATCTTCAAATTTAAGGGTTCGACTTAGTATCTATATAAGTATTAGAAGTTAATACTTTAGTAGCAGATGTGTCAATTTAATGTATCAGTATATTATTTTTATAATGTCCAGAACTGAACATTATATTCACACATCCGCGATTATAAAAAGATAACTTCCATTAGTTTGATAAATATATTGCATTGAAAAGTATCCAATATTTAAGAATTAGTTTGCTTATAGCAAACATTGCATAAACCTTCATCTATCAGTACATTAAACACATTTATGTACAGTTTCAACAAAAGATGACGTCACAAACATGTTTTCATAACGCTTAACTTTCAGTCTATATTAACGCTTCAACGAACAAGTTTACCTTGAAGTTGAAAAGAAATATCAAATATATAAAACACAATACTGAACAGATCATATATATACAGGTACATATATATCAAATTCATTCAACACAAGTTTATAGGTTAATTCATCGAATAATGCCTTTAGAATTTATATGTTTATATTGAATAACCAATTACTATAATTAAATTTTACTTATCAAAATTAAGTTTGCCATTGTTTCCTTTATATCATTTCATTCGCCAAACAAGCTCCTAGCAAGGTTATAAACCTTCGTAACGGAAGTGAATAAAATATATTTAATTACTAGCGCGTATAGTGTTTGGCAGACTGCATTTAAAAATATGTTCTCGTTATAATAATGATATCTTTAGTAAAACTTGATCAAAGTTTAAGGAGAAGATAATTATGGAAATATGGATTCTATATTAATTTATAAACCTTGTCATATTATTATGCTGTTGGGGTTTGAAGTAAATCCTACAAGAAATAAAGAAGTTGGAGTAAAAAATACAAATTTTTCGAAAAGAATCCAAGTTCAAGGGGGATATAATTCTAGACATAATCTTGCTAGAGTATTGAACATTCTCACAAATGTTGAGTGATAAAAACAAAGATATATATCAAGTTTGAAGTAGATACATTTGAAATAAATTATTACAAAAACATTTTTTCCATAAAAATTCTAAGTTTAAGGGAGGTAATTCTGATAATGTTTGTGCTAGAATTGTAAACCTTGTCACATATGATGTGGTTGATGACGAGAAACTTAATATAATAAAGTTTGAAGTAAACACATTAAGAAATAAAGAATAAATAGTGAAAAAGCGTAAAACCTAGAATAAGAAATCTTGAAATTCATCAATTTGTTGCCATAGTAACCAGAATTTTCGACATAGGAAGAAAAAAAAGATGCTCATAATTTCCAGACTATCATCTACCCATGTTTCAAGTTTCATAAAAATATTTTCAGTACCTTTTGCGTTATCACTGGATCCAGTTAATTTGTTGATTTGCTATATTTTCTGTCTATTTATTGCCATGATAGCACGTGAATTTTCAACAAAGTAAGAATAGAAAAAAACGTACATGATTTCCATACTGTCATTTATCCATATATCAAGTTTCATAAAAATAATTTCAATACCTTTTGCGTTATCGCAGAACCAACTTTTGTGGACGAACGGACTGACGGACTGCCAGACAGACATATATTCGGACAGACAGATAGACAGACGGACACACAGACGGAGGGTAAACCTAAAGTCTCCTCCGATTAAACCGGCAGGGGACTCAAAAATTTCAGAGAGAATTGAAATAATTATATATTTACCAGAGTTTTCATAAGCAGATCCCATTGTCTTGCTTCTACCATTGGCTCTTCAATGCAAACGAATAATTTTTTGGACTCATTTTATAAAGATCATTATAATGGTTAAGTTGATGAAAACATGTAATAGGGTCTTATTTTCAAGTTAAGGTGTAAGGGAAAAAACTCTTGGTTATTGTTGAATTTCATAATTTTGAAAAGGGAGACAAGTCCACCGGTCTTGTCTGATCCTTTTCAAGTGAGAATACTCTATTGGTTTTAACTGATATTATCATATGTTTACATTGATCTGTTGTCAATGTTCTAAGGAATCAAATGATTGGTTCACGGATGGTTGATCTTAAGCTAATTTTAGGTCATGTGATTTCTTGGTGGGAAAAGCCATTGTGTCTTTGTTGTTAAGAAGAAAAGATGTTAGAAAATAAGTGTTTTGTGTTCAAGTTATTTATTTCTTATGTTGTTAACAGTCACATAAGTTAGTTATTAGATTGATGTTAATTACGAGACATATCAGGGTATATTATACAAACGTGTCTTCTCCTATACAGTAATGTTATTGTCAGTTACTATGAACAACACTTTTTTTTGTTTTTGTACATTTTTTCATATATTGTACTGACGGACGGCTTTTGAATAAAAGCTTTTCAATCTAGACGTTTAATTTTAGTTCTATTTTTGACTTTAATTCATTTAAATATATAAACAATCGTTACTTTTTCCGATATTTCCTGAGAATCAACGTAACCACAAATATAATGTTACCAAGTACTGACAAGGCAAGAATTGTTCCAAGTAATATAACAGCTGACTGCTCTGAGGAATAGATTGAGTCTGAAATCATATTTCGTAAATAAACATCCATAAATAACACAATAATCTGAGCGTAGAAATAAAAGCGTGCTACAAGGGTAGAATAAAAGACATACTTAAAAGTTTTAACATGGTATATATCTTTTCATTTATCATGGTATTTAATATGTTTTCAAATATTGCTTACTTATATTCTACTAATTAACACGTTGAAGTAGTTGCCACAGTAACTATAATTATTCTCATCATTAAAAATCAGCAGCATGGCCAGCCTACTTAACAATCATTATTACAATTTAACAGAGGCAACGTGATATGGCATTAACGTTATACAAAGCTTTTAAATAATGTAAAAGGGATGAGTCCTCGATCGCAGTGAAAACAATAAGATTACACTTGCCAGACATGCATTGATTGCACTGTCCTCCTACAAAATTATCAAGACATCCATATGAGCATTCACCGTTACTTTTTTGCAATGCTGGTTTTTACAGCCAACACTACAAGTCATGTTACAGGACTGTCCATACCAGCCTGTTGAACCAACGTCACATTTATCACCAACGATGCTATCTAAAGCACGTTTGTACAATATCCGGAAACTTTTTCACACACACTACCTTTACTCCCTGCAGGACATTGTTGATCGCATATGTTTCCATATTTTCTGGTTTTGCATATGTCACATCTAACTCCAGCAAATTTTGGGATACATGCACAGTTTTCAGTTATTATATCGCAAGTGTTTGACATACAACCAGTCGAACAAGTTTTTTCACAGTTTGGTCCATAATGACCAGTTTTACAAACCAAACAACTGTCATAGGACGAGCATCGTATACAGTTTTCCCGGCATTTGTATGTACAGTCGTTCAACAAAGGGAAATTAATGTTGTCGGTCTGGTAACCTATATAATAACCATCCTTACACGATTCACAAACAGTATTCGAAGAACACGTGACACACTTGCCCGGACATAACCAATTGCATAAATTACTGGTATCGTAATATGATGTACACTTGGTTCCTGTTGTGCATGTTTTACATCCGGGTAAACATTTTGATGTGTGGTCTCTAGCAGAGCCGGGGTAATAGCCATCATAGCACGCAGTACAATAATCTGCATCACTATGTCTTTCGCATTTTGCACAATTGTGTGCACATCGTATGTAACAGCGAGCACCTCTGTAACCATCAATACAACCTAGTGTGCATTCGTTTGAATACCATTGCCCTGGTCCACATAGTCTATTTATACAGCATGCACAATCTACTTCACATTGTTTTTCAGCTTCTGTAATAAATAATGTCTTACTTACTTAAAATTCTAACATAAATCAATGTGAAATGAAAAGATATAAAATTAACATTCAAATTTGAATTGCTGAAAAGTTTGTGTTGTATTTTAACATGGTGTGGTAATGTCTCATGTAAACAATATTTTAGACAGAAAAGTGTTCTTGCTATTCCATTTCGCTTTATGCTAGTGTATGCAAAAACGAAACCAAGTGGAGTGTTTACATTTATCATTCGGGCATGTCTACTTATTTAGATCATGTTTATAATATGTCTGTTTTTTACATGCAATAAATGTTTATGAAATAGTTTGTTCAATTAAAATATTACCAATTTCATTTTTATACGCTTGAAAGAAAAAATTTCATCGTATATTGTAATGCACCTGGTTGTCCGTTTGTCTGTCCGTCCGCACTAACAGGACAGTAATTATGTGACTAGAGGGACAATAGTTAACTGTTCTTTCTCTTTGATGTCTTTCATTCCGTAATGCTTTTATGTTGCTATCTTTTCGTGTGGCTATAAAAACAATAAAGAGAACAATAGAGTAGCCACATTTTTACTCTTCTGTCAGAACGTCCGTCCGTTCGTCTGTTAGCAGATATCTTGTCCGGTCGGTAACTTTTTAAGGTCAAGGTCAAGGTCAAGGTCACACTTAGTCTTTTTGTTTCAGTATCTAAATTTTGTGTCCGCTCTGTATCTTTTGAACTGAGATAAACGAAATGAAGTTGGCTCGCCCGGGAATTTATTGATTTATATAGATTTATAAAGGAGCTTTCATGTCATGTCTGTATCTTTTTAAACAGTGGAAAGGAATTGAAAAAACTTGGCAGAAACGTTAACAATAAATATGTGCAGAGCGCAAGTTTGACATATCTGAGGTACAGGTCAAGGTCACACTTTGTCATGTTGTATTAATATCAAAATTTTGTGTCCGCTCTGTATTTTTTGAACCGATGGAAAGAAAGTAAACTGGCAGAAAAACACTAATATAATGATGGTGTGCAGACCACCTAAGTTCAAAATTGGCACCACCCCGGTGATAAATAAATTTATATAGACCTATAAGAGTTTTCATGTCCGGCCTGTATCTTTTCCACCGATTGAAAGAAACTGAAACTGCTTTACAGAAATGTGTTAACCATAATAAAACAATGTGCAGAACGCAGTTTGACCATCCTTATGTTAATATCTAGATTACACATAGTCATTTTGTATTAATTTCAAAAGTATGTGTCCGCTCTGTTTGTTTTAAACTCATAGTATGAAATGGAATCTATTTCGCAAAAATATTTATGTGTAGAGTGCAGTTTTGGACTATATCGGGTCAAGGGCACATTGAAAAATCATTCAAAATCCTTATATAAGTGTATATAATACAAAGGGAAATAATAATGTATGAATTTATTAATATGTTTCCTCCCAATATGTTTGTATTTACTTTCCTTATTTTTACAAAATATATTACATGTTTTACTTTATAATGTTTTTTTTAAAACTTCCTATTTTTAGATTTTTCCTGTTAAGAGTTTAATAATATATATTTGATTTAATTATTTAAAATAAGACAATCTTATCAATTGATGCTAAAAACTTAAGTTATGTTAATTACTGAATAACAAAAAGTTGTAAACAGAGCTTATAAAATGTCAAGGAATACCGTTTTGCCATATTGTGGGCAGTCTCTCTCTAATTGAAATACTGAAATGGGTTGAATGACTGAATCATGTAAAGTGGCTGTACCTGTCAGATTATACATTAAAAATTACATTTTCAGTTATTTGGCATGTATCCTGATATAGAAGAACCCTGCAATTGTTCCAAAGATCATTTCACAGATATCAAACATTGGCTGTGACGGGGATGGAACAGTTTACATGTACACATATTTATGTAGTATACATGTTTAAAAAGTATTTTCTCCAACATACACATGCAGAGCAACGATTTTGAGCATGTATTATAACTAAGTAAAGATAAGATAAGATAAGATAAGTAAATTTTATTATAGTGACATTGTGTTATGTACATACATAATAACGATGCATTTTTATTTTTACAACACCCGGCCACGTTGGGCCTACAAGTCACTTAATTATCTAATCATTTTCAAAAATATACAATGTAGACCTATCACTTTTGTGATGAATGTGTTTGTAAGTTTTGATGTTGTAAACGTAAAGGGAGGTAATAAAAAGAAAATTATTTATGAGTATAGCATTTTGATTTTTGATTATTTTTAGGTATTACATTTTGTACTTTTGAGTTTCTGGTATAATATTATTAATATGCTTCAATCTTTGAATTTTAATCACTCAAAAACCAACATTATTGCTGTTTTCATTCAGAATATATTTTCCGTGACAATTGCATGGAGATAACTAATCACAAATCTGTGCTTCAAAATAAGCTTCATAGGAGCATGACTGGTGACATGTCTGAGATCTGATCTCCACAGCGGAAGCTGCGGCATATATAAATTGTCACTAAGTATTTATGTGACAAGAGCATAGCTATTTGGTATCTATCAATGTGGATATTAATATTGAAAATTGACATAACACGTGTTTCAAATGGGTATCCTCTCTGTCTAAAAAATCTTTTTTGATTACTTAAAATTTGCATTCGGGCGTTAAATGTCAGGGCTAAGTGGTGCTCTTGTTATATTTGCCGTAAAATTTCAATCTTTAGAATTTCTTAAACAAAACTGATATTGAACGTTCTAATACAAAAGTACTGACTTAGGTCCGACATAAATACTACTACTCTTGATAATCTTTTCCTAAAATTCATCCGAATCAGATTTTTTTTGTCATATCAAAGCATCTGGATCAGATGGTTTCTGTAACTGAATTATGAATGAACCTTCACGAGAACTTTTTATACCTTTAACCGATCTTTTTAACGCTTCTTTATCCTGTTGCAAAGTTCCATCTTTTTGGAAGGAATCCCATGTTATAGCTATTTTTTAAAAGGTGATGCAAACAATTAAAGACCTATTTCATTGTTCATTGTTTATAGAAATCGTTTTTGAGCGTCTTATTTTTAAGCACCTTGAACTCAAATTGAACTCTTAACCCAGTGTACTCAGGCTCTAGGGGATTCAGCTGTAAATCAATTTGTATGTATCTATGACACTCTTTTTAAAATACTTCTTAATGGTCTTGAAGCTAATGTTATATATTTTAACATTAGCCAGGAATTTGATAAGGTCTGACATAAAGGCATTCTTTGTAAACTAAATTATTAAGGTTTATCTAGCAATTGTCGGATCGGTTTTGAGATTATTTAAATCTACACGTCAGTCGGGTTGTTTGAACAGATGAAAAAACTTCATGGCGTGTTCTTGAGTCAGGTGTCCCTCAAAGCTCGTTTCTTCGTCATTTGCTTTTTCTAATGCATAAAAATGACATTTTTCAAAGTCTTCATTTTAATGCTAATCTTTTTGCTTATTACTGATGATAGAAGTCTCTGTCTTGTATTTGAAAACCCACAGATTACAGCTCAACAAGTACAAACAGATATTCAACAAATAACTGCGTGGGAAGACAAATGACTTGTATTTATACATCGAAACAGCAGGTGTCAAGTGCTGTGTGGCAGCTTCAAAAAGTTGCCCCGGACTGTTATATTTTTCTTGTCCTTCAGGATTAATGAGTCCAGTACTTGTAAGTATTGAGAATTGAGTTTTGCTCAAGCCTGTGCAAACAGGCGTGAGGGATGTTGCACTTTTTCATAATCCCTTATGTACAGGCCCAATCAAACCGATTTTTGCTATCGAGAGCTCACTCATTTCAAGATATTTATACATCATAACAATATGTGTCATCTGCTGTGTATAAGCTTTAAAAAGATGCCCAGTACTTCACTCCAGTGTTGTTGTATTTTTCTGGTCCTTCGGTATCATTGAGTTCAGCATTGTGAAGTGTTAAAATCTTCAACCGGACAAAGTATAGCACAAAAATACAATTTGCAATTATTTATGAGTATATTTTTACTTCCTCTACTGCTTTATTAACATCATCTAAGAACATGTCAGTTAAATAACTTAAGAAACGAACGAGATATGGAAAAATGAATATATCTCATAGAAAAAGGAAAATTCAAATGGCGACCCTTGACGAATTTTGTTCATAAAACACCTAAAAAAAAACGTTCTTTATCAACTTCTTTATTTCTTAGCATATCTACTTTAAACTTTAAATATATGTTTCTTATCATCACCCACTTCATATTTGGCATTAGGTCCATTATTCTAGCACCTTTATAATGTCAGAATTATCATCCTTAAATTTTCATTTTGAACTTATTTGAAAATTGTTTGATTTTTTTTTAATTTTCTTCTTTGTTACTATTAATGGTATATTGTATTTTCCATTGCAATGTCATGTTGTATTTTGGCACAGAGTACTATGTTACAAGAAATAAACTTTACTTTTATATATTTGAAAATTGTTATATTTTTCACTTTTCTTCTTTGATTCTATAAATGGTTTCTACTTGATAATTGTTGTTTGTCACCACTTGCATCATGTATGACGATGTTCATAAGTCTAGCATCTTTATTTCAATAGTTGAGCCACGTCACGACAAAACCAACATAATGCGTTTGCGACCAGCATGGATCCAGACCAGCCTGCGCAGTCTGATCAGGATCCACGCTGTTAGCTTACCAACTCTATTTCAAGTAGAGAAACTGATTACGAACAGAATGGATCCTAATCAGACTGCGCGGAGGCGCAGGCTGGTCTGGATCCATGCTGGTCGCAAAAGCATTATGTTGGTTTTGTCATGGCGCGGCTCAGTTGTCTCCTCTTTGGTGTAAGAATTTGTTTTTTTATAAGTGTTAAAGTAATTTTCTGGTTACAACCAGGGACATTAAAAAATTGCCTTAAGTCT